CCCCAAAACCCCAAAACCCCACAGTAAAAGTCGCATCATATAATTTAAAATTGAATAAATGATTGTTTAATTCATAAGAAAATTGTTAAAATTTGTTAAATCAGTTTCATTTGCAGTTTCATTCTTCTTTAATTAGTGAATTCTTATGACTCATTTTGTTATTGATAACATTCGGTCTTTGCTTTTGTTATCTTTCAACTGAGCTATTATCAAAGTCACTTTCAACGCTCTTGAGTTTGTAGAACTTAGGATTTCCTTTGTGATATTAAAAAGCTTCCACAACATTAGTTTCTTGTACATCTACCTCCTCCTCTGTGTTCTGATCTTAATTATTTCTAGTCTGATCTTCTTCATAAGCCAGAATCCAATTCATAATACAGACCCATCTATCACATTCTTCCTCATTTTTCGCTGCAAATAAGAATCTATCTTCTGCAAAATACCACTCTAGCTCTCTATTTGTCCAAGTGAAGTTGCTACTTAGAGATTTAATCCAACTTGAAGGATTTCTCACTATCATCTCTTCAATTTCTAACGGTTTGGAAAGAGACTCCTCAATTAAACCAATTAGATGCTATCTATGAGCTTTGTCTTAAATATGTTTCTCAATCTCCTTCAATATTTTTTAACTTATCTTTCTCTTTTCTCTTAAAACAGTGCTCTAATCTTGCTTTTAAACAGAAGGGGATCGACTCATTGATCTATCTGGTGACTCACTCATTTCTCTAGCTTTAGATAATTTTCTTGGAGATGGCTTAGGCATCAAATGTCTACCCTGCTATGTTTAAGCAGCTGTATTTTCAAGTAATTTTTTAGATGGAGTAAAATGAGATTGAGACCTATTTCTGCTATGAGATTATTAACTCCTATCTGCTTAATCTTAAGATCCAGGTACCTCAAGCCTGTTTCTAATTGGAGAATGATTCTCGAAATCTTTGAATTTATTGCTATTAGATCTGTTGACTCTTTTATCTCCAGAACTTTCTATTACATCAATTTTGACATCGTACTTTCCTCTGCTGTTATTTAAACTTTCATTTTCCTCTTCAACTTCGACAATCTGATACTTAGCAGCAGATTTATTTATTTATGCCAGTTTTAATGGCGATGTGTAAGCTCTGTCATCTCCATCTGAACTAGTAGTCGCTCCATAATTTTAAGTCCATCTAGTTTCTCCGTTACTTCTTTTTAAGAATATTTCAAACTAGAAATTCTTAAGTCAAGTATACTTTTCATCTTTCTCTGGAACTTCTACATATACTCTTTTAACTGATTCAATGGCATCCATCGGAATCACTGCTAATGGTCTAGCTAAAAAACTTGCATAAGGAACGCCTTCAGCATAGTAAATGAAATGAGACTTAGTAAGTTAGCACCATCTAGACATATACTAATGCTTGATTCCAGGTTTATATTTCATAAGTTCGCTTTCATAAATGATCTCATTGTCATTAATTTGATTATATCTTAGAGAAAGTTAAGCAGGTATATCTGTAATTTAAGTTGGCATAATCATAGGATCTTCTGATCTTTTAGCATATACCTTGTTTCTATCTGTCCTAACGTCAGAAGTTCTGTTTTTAAGATGTTCTGGAATGCCATGGGGGACTGATAGATACTTCGAATTGCTATTAGATAATTTCTGCATTTAATTCTAGTCTCTAGGAAGATTAGGATCACGGCTTGGGCTGAATTTTCCTTTTTAGCTTTGTTTTTTGTTGGCTAGTTATTAATGCCTGGATAGCAAAATTTACCTTGTCTAATCATAGCTAAATTTTCCGTCCTTCAATTTTCTATATAAACCAGCATCGCTTTATACAGATCTCTGAGGTGAGAAATAGACTGAGCTATCTAGGTTTTTGCTGCCATGATTCGAACCATTTCCTCTAGTTTACCTACTTTATGAGCTACCGATTCCTTAAAGAAGTAAACTACTATTTCCGATGATCGAGGACTTAGATTTGTCATTAAGTTTATTCTTGTTGAATCCTCCAGCATAGGATAAATCTGTCATTCTTGATCGCTCTACAGATTCATTCTCCATTGCTTTTATTAGCATTGAGCCTTTGTGAGATTAAACAAGACTCTCTTTTCCAATTAAATAGTCACCTTCATTTTAATAATTACCAGAAATTCTTCGTCCATGCTTAGCTTATTAATTAGATCTTTCTTTCATACTTTATTCATATTTAGAATTTTTTTAAACCTTATGAGGAGATGGATTATCCATCTATATTCAGGATAATTCAAATAAATTGTTTAAATTACATCATCAAGATCATCTCTGAATAGTTTTGCCTGCTCTCTTTTAATTGAATTAAAATCTAATAATTCACTAGGATCACACCCTATTCCCTTCATATGCAAATGCTTGCTGAATTTCTCAAAGCCCTACAGGTGTAAATAAGAAATTTTTTATTATTGAGTTTATTTTTATTTCAAAATCAAGTTACATTAGATTCACTTCTATCTGTGTACTCTGATGATGCTGCAGAATCTCTTCTTTCACTTTACTTTTGATTATAAAATTTAACACCAATGTTAATGTTATTCTCTACACATTTATAATAATTTCTAAATGTATGATATTACTTTCTATAGTGAAGTCTTCTCCTGGCTTATCACTGTATGCACAACAATAATTATTTCCCATTTTTAGTCAGTTCAGTTAAATTTGAATAACTTTTATTTATTTTAATAACTACTCTAAAAATCAGATTAACGGGGTTTTGGGGTTTTGGGGTTTTGGGG